TGACGATGCACCTCGGCCCTGACCCATCTACGACTAACATTTACACGCTGTATATATTTACTGCCGCGGAGGAATAATCAGGAACCGCTCCGGCAACAACATCTGCCGCAAAACCATAATCATCAGCCAAAACAGCTGCTGCCGTGGAATAATCAAGAACAGCTCCGGCAACAACAACTGCCGCAAAACCATATTCATCAGCCTGCACAACTGTCGCCGTGAAAAAATCAAGAACAACTCCGGCAACAACAAATGCCGGTAAACCATATTCATCAGCCTTAACGACAACAGCTGCCGCGGTGGAATAATCAGGAACAACGCCGGCAACAACAACTGCCGCAAAATCATATTCATCAACCTGAATATTTGGCGCCGTAGAATAATCAAGAACAGATCCGGCAACAACAACTAGCGCAAAACCATAATCATCAGCCTGAACAACTGCCGTTGTGGAATAATCAAGAACAGCTCCGCCGAAAATAACCGCCGCTAAACCATATTCATCGACCTCAACAACAACTGCCGCGGTGGGATAATCAGGAACCGCTCCGGCAAAACCATCTGCCGCAAAACCATAATCATCAGCCAGAACAACTGCTGCCGTGGAATAATCAAGAACAGCTCCAGCAACAACAACTTCCGCAAAACCATATTCAACAGCCTGAACAACTGCCGCCGTGGAAAAATCAAGAACAGCTCCGGCAACAACAAACGCTGATAAACCATACTCATCAGCCTTAACGACAACAACTGCTGCGGCGGAATAATCACGAACAACGCCGGCAACAATAACTGCCGCAAAACCATATTCATCAGCCTGAATAGTTGACGCTGTGGAATAATCAAGAATTGATCCGGCAACAACAACTGGCGCAAAACCATAATCATCAGCCTGAACAACTGCCGTTGTTGAATAATCAAGAACAGCTCCGCCGAAAATAACCGCCGCTAAACAATATTCATCAGCCTCAACAACAACTGCCGCGGTGGAATAATCAGGAACCGGTCCGGCAACAACATCTGCCGCAAAACCATAATCATCAGCCAAAACAACTGCTGCCGTGGAATAATCAAGAACAGCTCCGGCAACAACAACTGCCGCAAAACCATATTCATCAGCCTGAACAACTGCCGCTGTGGAAAAATCAAGAACAACTCCGGCAACAACAAACGCCGATAAACCATATTCATCAGCCTTAACGACAACAGCTGCCGCGGTGGAATAATCAGGAACAACGCCGCCAACAACAACTGCCGCAAAATCATATTCATCAACCTGAATATTTGGCGCCGTGGAATAATCAAGAACAGATCCGGCAACAACAACTAGCGGAAAACCATAATCATCAGCCTGAACAACTGCCGTTGTGGAATAATCAAGAACAGCTCCGCCGAAAATAACCGCCGCTAAACCATATTCATCGGCCTCAACAACAACTGCCGCGGTGGAATAACCAGGAACCGCTCCGGCAAAAACATCTGCCGCAAAACCATATTCATCAGCCAGAACAACTGCTGCCGTGGAATAATCAAGAACAGCTCCAGCAACAACAACAACTGCCGCAAAACCATATTCAACAGCCTGAACAACTGCCGCCGTGGAAAAATCAAGAACAACTCCGGCAACAACAAACGCCGATAAACCATATTCATCAGCCTTAACGACAACAACTGCTGCGGCGGAATAATCAGGAACAACGCCGGCAACAACAACTGCCGCAAAACCATATTCATCAGCCAGAATAGTTGGCGTTGTGGAATAATCAAGAATTGATCCGGCAACAACAACTGGCGCAAAACCATAATCATCAGCCTGAACAACTGCCGTTGTGGAATAATCAAGAACAGCTCCGCCAACAATAACCGCCGCTAAACCATATTCATCAGCCTCAACAACAACTGCCGCGGTGGAATAATCAGGAACCGCTCCGGCAACAACATCTGCCGCAAAACCATAATCATCAGCCAAAACAACTGCTGCCGTGGAATAATCAAGAACAACTCCGGCAACAACAACTGCCGCAAAACCATATTCGTCAGCCTGAACAACTGCCCCCGTGGAAAAATCAAGAACATCTCCAGCAACAACAAACGCCGGTAAACCATATTCATCAGCCTTAACGACAACAGCTGTTGCGGTGGAATAATCGGGAACAGCGCCGGCAACAACAACTACCACCAAAACATATTCGTCAGCCTGCATAATTGGCGTCGTGGAATTATCGAGAACAGATCCGTCAACAACAATTGGCGCAAAACCATAATCATCATCATGAACAACTGCCGTTGTTGAATAATCAGGAACAGCTCCGCCGAAAATAACCGCCGTTAAACAATATTCATCAGCCTCAACAACAACTGCCGCGGTGGAGTAATCAGGAACCGCTCCGGCAACAACATCTGCCGCAAAACCATAATCATCAGCCAAAACAACTGCTGCCGTGGAATAATCAAGAACAGCTCCGGCAACAACAACTGCCGCAAAACCATATTCATCAGCCTGAACAACTGCCGCCGTGGAAAAATCAAGAACAACTCCGGCAACAACAAACGCCGGTAAATTTATCCTTAGAACCCTTTTCGTCAATTTATCCTTAGAACCTTGATTTGAGCCTCGGAGAAAAGGTGTTCTTTCTTTTAGCCAATATGTAGAAGGTAGAAAAGTGGAGATTTTTGAATAATTATCCCTTGGTGGTCGGTCGAAAAATTCTTATAAGATCTTTCTTCTTCTTCGAAAAAAAAAAAAAAAAAAAAAAAAAAAAAAAGAGAAAAAGAAAAAGGATAGATATATATGTGCATCTTCATATATATATATATATATATATCTAAATCCTTCGATATGAAAAAAAAAAAAAAAAAAAAAAAAAGAAGAGAAGAAGAAGAATAGATTAGAAGGGAGAAATAAGGACTAGTTGTTGAGTTGTGTTGAAAACTCGATCCATTGCCTCAAGGCAAAAGTGTTGACGTGTGAATTTTGGAGAATCGAGTTTATTTAAGTCCCTAGAGGTGAATTCTTTGTTTCAAACGCCTATCTTTCAAATTTTGGCGTATTCACCTCAATTCAAGAAAATTAGCCACACATTCCCATATTACCTACCTCGGACCAAAGAGCCTAACAATTGAAAGCCACAAAGCCCCAATGATCCAATAGCTTATTGTTCAATATTAGTTGAGTAGAATAATTTGGTGAGTATTTGGAGTCAAATATATGCATGTAAGTATAAATTCTTTTCTATCTTTAACTTGCAAATATTGGATACTTGAA